CTTTTTTTTAATATTAAACATTTAACCTTAAATAAAGAAGTGAGAATTTTCTCTCTCATTTTTTAGATCACATGTTAGCTTAAGTGGTACCATACCGTGACTTACATGGCACCACACAATTAGAATTGTAAAGTTTCGTCAATGTGGTTGATGGAGTTGCATGGGGTAGACGAAAATGAAACAGTTTTGAAAATTAATACATAAATTTAAAAGAAAATAAAGATTTTAAACTAAAAGAAAAAAAAAAAAAAGAGTAATAGTTAATTGACGATTTTTTCATTTTGGCTAGAAATCTCATTATTGGAGGATACTGTGGCGAAATTTGGGGCAAAAAATCAAGAGTTGGTGTTTGATAATGGTGGGATGCTATTGGTTGAGGGTAGGGTTGATCACCTCTTGCCGCTTGACCCCAGTTGAAAAGAGTTTCTCTACTCTCTTTTTTTTAGCACTTCAAATAGTCAGGGCATTGGAGGTTTTTCTCAGACTATTCATTTGGTTACACAGACCTAGGTTGAAAAAAAAAAAAAAAAGCCTCCAGCTTCAGGTTTCCAGGGTTAACTCGAATTGATTAATTTTGGTTTTAGAAGAACATTGTTACAATAGCCCTAGGTGAGTCCGAGGGGGATTTGGAGGTGCTAATATACATGCACCACGGTACCCCTGCTTTTGCCTTCTTATCAATGAAATTATTTGCTATTCTCATTAAAAAATAATAATAATAATAATAATAAAATCTCCACTTTTTATTTTTGGGCACTGTGAGATTTTTTTCCTTCACAATTTCCATTTCCTTGTACATTTTTTTACTTCTTTAATCAGCATTGCTATTCTTTTCTTTACGCATTTTAGGCCACCTTTCTTTATATAGAATACTAATATTAGTGGTAGGATTTTAGCAGAAGGTGTAAAAAGGTAGAGACTTTGTTCAATGTTCATGTTGTTACTACCAAACAATCAATGGCTCTTTATTGTCCTATGAAACAAAGCTGTGGACTAGATATTTGTGCCTGTGATTGAGTTTCTTAGTCAACGTAGATGGTAGGAATGTTAAATGTAATTTGCAATCAATGATTTGATTTCTCTACTCTTGACATTTATACATACAAAATAGAATGCATATGTCAAATTGAATGAATAAAACCAAGAACCAGCACCATCATGCTAGGGCTATGTTCTAAACTTCTAATGAACTTCCTAAATAATTCAACAATTCTTTTGCCCCACTTTGGCTATGGACTTATGGTCACTGGGATTATCCTCTTCTCTTTACACAAGCATCTAAGACTAGATCAATGTGAAAGTCTTAAAGAAGTTGGTCTGTAGATTGAAGAAAATGTTAGTGGCTGCCAAAGCACTTTGTTCTTTTTTAGATTTAAGAGCCAGTAAGAAGATTGGATGGAAGTGTTGAAAGCTCCCATTTGGGACATTGATATTGTGAGGAAGCAGGTATTTGCTTCATATCTCCAAACTAGGTGTTTTATATTTTTGGGGCTTTTCCTAAATGGCAGTGAATACATTTCAAATTTCAAATGAGATTATTAGTTTGTTGAGTCAACTACAAATGCCAAACAAAATTTGGAAATGTTGGCATCTTTAGTCTTTGTCCAACAAGTAGTGGATGATTAAAGAAAAGCTTTTTACTACACAATGAAAAATATAATCCATGATTTGGCAACTTGCTATTTATCAAATGAGGTAGTTTTTTCAACAAGTGAAGGATAAGGAGATTGTCCTACCTTGAGAAACATTAAATACCTAAAACTTAAGACTCATTGGTGGACTATCAAATTTGAGCAGTTCAGCAAAATTATGGACCCTCATTATGATGACAATAGAACAACTGGTTGAAAACATTGAGAATATGGAACACAGGTCAACTTGCTTTAATTAAAATTTCAATTAAATTTGATATTAAATTAAGCACTTAGCTCTTGTGGCCCAATTACTAGTGTCATTGAAAAAATGCATATCCTCCTCCCTTAGAAGGTTTCGAACCCGCCCCATAACAAAAAGTTCAAAAAAAATTAACAGTTATTAAAAATAATATGTATTTTATTTAATTTTAAAGATATTTTATTATATTCAAATAATAATAATGGTAACTAGTATATCAACTTCTCGACAACCAAATAATAAAATATTTGACCAGCACTTATAGGTGCATTTTTGTATTGTAAGTCTTTCTTCATATGGAATACTAATAAATTCCACCTTTTGTTTTTAGACAATATGGGGTTTTCTTTTCTTCACAATTTCCTTTTCTTTGTACATTTTTTTTCCCTTTCTTTAATCAATCATTGGTATCCTTTACACATTTTAGGTCACCTTTTTTTATATAGAATATTAATGTTGATGGTAGGATTTTAGCAGAAGGTGTAACTTCGTTCATGTTTTTACTACCAAACAATTAATGGCTCTTTTACTCTCCTATGAAACAAAGCTGTGGACCAGAAATTTGTGCGTCTGATTGAGTGTCTTAGTTGGCATACATGGTAAGAATGTTAAATGTAATTCACAATCAATGATTTGATTTCTCTACTCTTGACATTTATACATGCATTACAGAATGCATATGTCAAATTGAATGAATAAAACCAAGAACTAGCATCCCCATGCTGGGGCTGTGTTCTAAACTTTTAATGACCTTACTGAATAATTCAGCAGTTCTTTTGCCCCACTTTGGCTATGAACTTATGGTCACTGGGATTCTCTTCTTCTCCTTACACAAGCATCTGGGACCAGATCAATGTCTTCTCTATGAATGCAGGTTAATTAGTTGGTGTAAAAAGTTTCTCTTTCATTTGTAAAACAGTGTATGTGCTAAGCATCTCACATTTTCCTCAATGATTATGTTTATAGCTTCACATTATTATTTTTTTTATCCCTTTGATTTGAGGGAACAACTAATCTGATAATTAAGTAGTACCATGCAATTCTATCATAAACAAAGTCACCATCATTAACACACTCATAATCCAAAGAGAAGAAAATATTAGAACATACATAAGCCCTTGGTCCAACTATCATCAAGCCTACTTTACATATACGAAGGAAATCACAGAACATACATAAGGACTTGCTCTGAATATTATCAAGCCTACTGGACATATAGCCAGGAAATCAGGAAATCAAGCCTCAGGTTGAACTGGCTTTGTCTTTGGGCAGTTCAGATTAGCTCGGCGAGTGATCAATACATTAGAAAACTCCCATTGCTAGAAGCGCCACAAATGTACAACCAAACACAATGGCAGCTATGCCTCCAGCTCTTACGCGGCTGCTCCCTGCATGTTGCCTTGCCACGACTTTGCTTTCGACTGCTTTATTAGCTCCAACGTCAGC